CTACACCTCAAACAGCTAGCAAAAGAAGAACAAGTCAAGCCCAAAGCCGAAAGAATAGAAGAAATTATACAAATCAGAGCAGAAATCAATGCAATAGAGACTAAGAAAACAATCCAAAGAATCAATGAATCAAAGAGTTGGGTCTTTGAAAGAATAAATAAAATTGATTAGCCCCTAGCCAACTTTATTAAATAAAGGGAAGAAAAATCTCAGATTTATGCAATAAGAAATGAAAAAGGTGAATTCATTACAGACTCTATAGAAATGCAGCAGATCATCAACACCTACTTCAAAAACCTCTACTCTCAAAGGTCTGATAACACAGAAAAAATAGACGATTCCTAGAAATATATGAAGTACCAAGCTAGGTCAAGAGGATGTAAAACTGCTGAATAACCCAATTTCTATTAATGAAATTGAAAATGTAATTAAGTCCTTACCTACAAAGAAGAGCCCTGGCCCAGACGGATTCACTGAAGAATTCTACAATAAATACAAAAAGATGTAATGCTGACACTCCTCAAACTCTTCAATGAACTTGAAAGGCAATCAATCCTTCTTAAATCATTCCTGGAAGTAAATATTATTCTAGTACCAAAACCTGAGAAAGACCCAACTGAAAAGAGAACTATAGACCAATCTCCCTAATGAACACAGATGCAAAAATCCTCAATAAAATATTGGCAAATAGGATGCAGCAAATCATCAACAAAATTATGCACCATGACCAGATGGGATTCATCCCAGGTGTGCAGGGATGTTCAACATATGTAAATCAATAAATGTAATCCACCATATCAAAAAAGCCAAAAGTAAGAATCACATGATCATTTCTATAGATGCAGAAAAGCTTTTGATAAGGTTCAACATTCATTCATGATAAGAACTTTGCAGAAAATTGGAATAGATGGTTTTTACCTCAATATAATAAAGGCCATCTATGACAAACCAACAACCAGTATCATACTAAATGGTCAAAAGTTGAAGGCCTTTACTTTAAAATCAGGCACAAGACAAGAATGTCCTTTATCACCACTCCTATTGAATATAGTACTGGTAGTACTAACCAGAGCAATTAAATAAGAGAGAGAAATAAAAGGGGTAAAGATAGGAAAAGAAGAAGTTAAATTATCATTGTTTGCAGATGACAGGATACTCTACGTAGAAGACCCCCTAAACTCCATTGTAAGACTCTTAGATATGATAAATAAATTCAGTAATGTAGCTCGATACAAAACCAATACTCAAAAGTCAATAGCGTTCCTTATACACTAACAATACAATCAAAGAGAGAGAAATAAGTGAAGCCACACCCTTCACACTAGCAACCAAAAAAAATGAAATATTTACGAATATTCTTATGAAAGAAGTGAAAGAACTGCACAGGGAAAAATATAATACACAGAAAAAGGAAATTGAAAATGATCTCAGAAAATGGAAAGATATCCCTTGCTCATGGATAGGAAGAATAAATATTGGGAAAATGGCTATTCTCCCAAAACTCTTATACAGATTCAATGCAATCCCAATAAAAATACCATCAACATACCTCATAGATCTAGAGAAATCAGTCCTAAAATTCATCTGAAGTGAGAAGAGACCTAGAATAGCAAAGACAGTTCTAAGCAACAAAGGCAATACAGGAGACATCACAATCCTTGATTTGAAGTTATACTACAAAGCAACCATAGTAAAATCAACATGGTACTGGAATCAAAACAGACCCAAAGATCAAAGGAATGGATTAGAAGGTACAACCACAACTACAAACACACTCAACTACCTCATCTTTCTAAAGGAGCCAAACAGGTTCACTGGAAGAATGACAGTCTCTTTAATAAATGATGTTGGAAAAACTGGCTCTCCATTTCCTGAAAACGGAAAGTAGACCCATGCGTACCACCATGTACTAAATTAAAATCTAAATGGATCAAAAGTCTGAATATTAAAACAGGAACACTAAATCTATTGGAAGACAAATTGGGTAGAAACTTTGAAGACATAGGGGTAGGCAGAGAATTCATGAACAGGACTCAAACCACACGGAAAATACTTCTCAGAACCAATAACTGGGACTGCCTCTTATTAAAAAGTTTCTGCATGTCAAAAGAAATCTCCAACACAGAGAAAAGAAAACCCACAAACTGGGAAAAAATCTTAGTGAACTCTCCCTCAAAGGACTTCTGTCTAAAACATATAAAGAAATAAAAAAGAGACCCTCAAAATTCAAAGATTCAATTCAAAAATGGGCATCTGAGATGAATACACAATTCTCAGATGAAAAATACAAATGGCAAGTAAATACATGAAAAAATGTTCATCATCATTACTCATTAGAGAAATGCGAATTAAAACCACATTGAGATTCCATCTCCTGAAAGTATGGCCAGGATCAATAAAACCATAAACAACAAATGCTAGAGAGGCTTGGGGAAAAGGAACTCTCCTGCAGTGTTTGTGGGAGTGTAGACTGGTGCAACCATTGTGGAGGTCAGTCTGGAGATTTCTCAAAAGGATTGGAAGTCCCATTTGTTCCAGCTATTCCCCTTGTAGGCATATTCCCAGAAGAACTGAAAGCATCATACCACAGTGATATATGTGCACCTATGTTTACAGCAGCACAATTTGTAATCGCCAGATCTTGGAAACAAGCTAAGTGTCCATCACCTGAGGAATGGATAAAAAAGTTGTGGTATTGTTATACAATGGAGTACTATTCAGCTATAAAGGATGATCACATTGAGATATTTATAAATAAATGGGTGCAGCTTGAGACCATACTCATAAGTGAAATAAATCAAACTCACATGTATGAATACCGAATAGTTTCCCTATTGTACGAAATGATTCAAATATATAAAAGTATGTGGTAATCATGATTCCCCATTATGTGGCTTTGAAGCTTTATAAATTTTTCACTCATTAATTGGAATGGCTTTATTCTGGGCTGTTTGATATTATTGCCGGTGATGATATGAACAGGTATTTTGAAGAAAACAAGACATCATAATATCTAGTGCTGATTTAATATCATCTTGTTTTGAAGTCCCACCAAACTATTGCTCTTCTCCAAAAACCATTGGTTTTGTCATGTTGTATCTTACTGGATTTTATTATATACGATAATATAAACAAAAATTTTTATAGACAAAGAGATAATATAGAAACTGTTGTTCATTTTCAGTTAGCTGGTTGTAAATGCCGTGTAATACTTTCATCCACTTGAATGGTTTCACACTGTCTTGATATTTGTGATGCTATAGTATACGAAGTTATATTCAAATATTTCCAGGAAAGAGACACTATGGTAACTACTATTAAGCCGGGTTATCTTTTGGTGAAGCACTAGGTTGCTGAAATTTTCATGCTTTGACCTGTATTGTTATGTTTTCTTTTATCTCAATCTCCCCCTTATTCATAAAAAATTATTCATTTATTTGTCTATTTTTTTAATTAAGTGAAAAATAAAAAAAATTAGCAGGATATATTATAGTAACATTTTTGATCTCCTATTAACTTGATTTGAAGCTCTGTATTACTCCTACTATCTTGTTTTGACTGATTAGATGTGTTCTATTTTGTTTGATAGTATCAAGCTTGAGGGTATAGGCAACTACTTTGAAGGCAATAAGATTCACTATAATGCCCATTCTGGTTTGAGTATTACCTTCTTTTGAAGTTCTGTAATTTTTCCAATATTTAGGTTTTATTGGTCTTGTTCTGTACTATTTTGTTCAATTTTATTATACCTAATGATATAGGCAACCCTTTTTAAGGTAGCAAGAGGCATTATGGTAACCATTGTTGATAACTTTGTATTCTATTTTTACATCATGTGCTATGTCTATCCTTTGTTTTGACTGACTGCTGTGTTTTGTCAAATTTGGTTTTATACTCTTCCAAAAAAAGTAGTAAGAACTCTGGGAGTAATAAAACTCAAAATGTGTAAATTTTGTTGTAAAAAAGAGAGGGGAAAAAAGTTCTCTAAAGAATACAATTGCAAGTGTGTTTAGGTGTATTAAGATAGATGACCATATAACTGAATTTTTGTCGGATCATTGTACACAACTGTTTGTAGTCTCACTGTCTGAATTTCCACATTGTATGCTTTCATCCTGTAACTTGAGCAACTATTTCTAAGATGACAATATGTAATCCATTAACTAGTGATTTCCTATTGGTTTTTTGTAATTCTGTATTACTTGTACCCTTATACTGTTTTTTTTCCTTTAAATAAAAAAAAAACAGTAGCAGAGGTACAGAAGTAGGACCCGTGGATACAGGTTTTGCAGGAAATAATAGAGGAACCATAATTAAACAGTGGTGTCACTTTGTTTAAAAAGATGTGAAACTCATATATTTTCAAACTGCATCCCATAATTTGACTGTTTCTAACAGCAAGTTCAAAAATCAGGATACTCTGCTTTTTGTTTTTTAAATTTTTTTTATTTTAAAAAGATTAAGATAGAGGAATAACAGCAGATCAGAACCGAACATTTTAAGCAATACAGTATTTCACCACAAGACAACCCAATATATCAGTAGCTACCATAATGTCTCTTTTCTTGAAATAGTTGAGTATACCTTCATACACAATAGTATCAAACATAACAAAATAGTATAAAACCATTAAAGAGAATGAAAGTATTACAGGGCATTCAGAAACAAATAACAGAAAATGAACAATGGTTACTATATTATCTCATTGTCCATAAAAGATTTGTTTATACTATCATACATAATAAAATCCAATAAGATACAACATGATAGAACCAATGGAAACAGAACAGGATACTATTTTGAAAATCACCAAGGATCAAAATGCAATCTAGGTTTGAAGCATACAAAATAATGTCTTTTACATATACGACATACACACACAGAAAGTTAGTAAAATAAATAATTTGACAAATCTAAGGAATGAGATATAAAAGTATGGCTGAGTCTTTGTAAGTTCAGAAAACAGTCCAGGTAATTGAGTGTCTGTTCTTCACACAGCTATGGCAACTGCAGACTATGATGCCAATGAACTGCTGCTTGGAGAGAAAAGGAAGCAAGATCTCCAAGAGCTGCTGGAAAATGTGGGACTGGACACTGAGTTTTGGTTGCCCAAGTTTCAGGAATACCTGGGTGTGACCTGTGCACAGGCCTTACAATATTTAGAAGAAAATGATATCCAAGTCTTGAAATCCTTGGTGCAGCATCCATGGGAAAAGAAAGCCCTGGAGAAGCTGTTTGAGCTGTCACACTCAAATATTTACCTAGACCTACAGGAGTCACCAGTGGAGATGCTGAACAAAAGGCAGAAGCAAGCAGAACAAACACTTCAGGAGCTAAAACATATGTTTTTAGAAGGAAGGCAGAGACAGGAAGAGGCAGTGAAGAGGAAAGAATCAGAGCTGAGGCAAGCAATGGAGATCCCTGAAGAGTACTGGCCACCGCCTGAACAGTCCCTCAGTCAGGTCATAGAAAACCTGCAGAGATATCTCACTCTCATGGGACAGTCTTGTACCACAGGAAAAATCTTTCAGATAGACATCTGATAAGATGGGCATCTGGAGGCCTTGCCCTGCAGGGAATTTACCAAACCAGCCAACAAGGTGACCTGGTGTACAATAGAGAAGAGCTACTTAGTGTCCCTAAGGAATTCTCACTTTTGGGATGTCAGCAGGGCACACGGATAGAAACAAAGGAATTTACATCTTCTCAAGAAGAATCCATGTTCACCCAGAGAATACAGAAGCTGGGTTTCAGTGTAACTGCATCAGCTAACGGTGGAGGATGGGGATTTTGCGTAGAAGGTGGCACAGATAAAAACAAAGATTCAGAATCCAAGGAAACCCATCAACCACATTCTGAGCACTCTTATTTTTGCTCAACCAAGTTCTACTACATCCCCCTGGCCTGCTGCCACTTTCGCATTGGTCAGCTCCAGTTCTCCAAGGCTGCTCTTCAGGAACTGAAGTGCATTGAAGACCTTCTGGGTCACAATGCATCTCCCTTGCTGAAGCAAAGGACTGAATGCTTCTTCCACAGGTTTGGTTCTCATGCTAACCAAGGGCCTCTGCACCTTGGAGGAATCTATTGGTGGAAGGCAATTTTAGAGGGTTTCCAAAAGGAGCAGCTAGAAGAGGTCAAGCAACAGGCATCAGAGGCCTTGGATATTTACATAAGGGGCAGCTTCTCTGGCTTTGGAGTTCAACTTGCTGCAAGTATGACTCTATCAGACTCACATTCAACAAAAGCTTCTCAGAACAGAACTCTTCAAAACCATCATTCTACTGTCAGATTATCTGTGGCCCAGATTGGTGGCCCACCAGAGGCAGATGGCATTGTCCAGTGGAAAACAGGTCTTATGGCAAGCAATCAAACCTGGTGTGTCATTGACAGGGGCCTCCAGTTGGTGGCAGTGTGGGACATAATTCTCTCCAGTCACAGAAGTGATTTTAAGGATGCTTTGAAACTGGCCAAATGCATAAGAGATAACTACACTGCTCTGACTGGCTTCAGTGCCCAGATCCAATATGGGGAGGAATTACTGAGTGCTGAGGAGGAAGCTAGACTTTTCCTACGGGATGTAAAATCCTGGGAAGTGTCTGACCCTGAAGCACAGCTTAAAAAATTGATGAATCTCAGGCAAAGGTTGTATCAAAAAACAGCAAGTAATGACATTTGGGTTAATACATGCCTCACAAATTCATATCTGCAGAATTTCTTAGTAAACACTGTTAACTTTTGCAAAACTTCTAATTATGAAACTAAATTTATTAAGTCACAGCTGCTCACACTTCTGGATCCTCATGTGTACAACTTGACAAACTTTCCTCAGGTTCGCTCTATCGTGCAGTGGATCTCCCAGTCAGAATCAAAACAAGGTGAAGTCAACATCTCCCAATTTTCAGAATTAATTAATCTCTTAAAAAAAGGTCTGAGTGACCTCTTGGAACTGAAGTTCAAATGTGACTCCCCAGAAATTGTAGCAGAGGCTCAAACAAAAGTCACTTATGACGTTAGCTTGGCTCTTACCTGCTATTTGAATTGCCTCAGAGAGATGAAGCACACAGACACACAGCTCCTGTTACTTTCTATTTTAGCTGGTGTAGGATATCACGTGGTTAATAATACCTTTCACTGTCTCCTGGATTGTGATGAATTAAATTTTCTACTGGAGAAAATGCAAAGTGCCCAAACTAAATACCAGGAGCTCAAAACTACTTGTATCAAGAGGGCTCAGGCATTCCTAGTGCTTACTTGTCTGACAGCCTCAGCTGAAGTCACAGCTGTTTCTCCAGAAGAAAAAACACAGCGTATGTCATTGGCCAGAGAATATATTGGCCAATCCCTGTCCAAAGAAGTTGCACATGTCCTCCACAAACATGGAGCAGGTCACAATTGAGAAATCCTAGAAAAAGACTTGAGATTAATCATTGATGGTGATTATGAATATATCGGATCATCATTGCCAATAGACAAGATCAAAGAACAGTTACAAAGCCACTTTGATGAAAACATACAGATATATAAACCCCATGATAAAGACAATCCTAAACAGGAAGTGATAGAAAATGGAGCATTCCAAGATTTACTCCAGCGCCTAGGTCTAGAACAATACTTCCCCAAAAGGATGAGCAGAGATAACTTTCACAAGATCTACAAGACTTGTGTCTACAGAAAACAGCCAAGCTCTGAATGGGAACTCCCTTTCTATTTCCTACAAAAGCTACTGATGCTTCATTATGGATTGAGATATCTGGTATTCAAAGAAGAAGAAAACAGTGAACATTGGGTTTATCCAATTGCCTGTGATCTGGAAAATGAGGCTTCTGATCCATATGATGACCTTGTTGGTGATGGTAACAGTTCTCTTATCCCTAAATCCTGGCCTCATATTCACCCAATGGATATCCAGATGGCAGTTTTTCACTGTGCAGATGTTTTTGCCAAACGGTATATTTTGGGCAAACTTTCTATTTGTCAGTTTGCTGTCCCCCTTTTGGTGCCTAATCTTTGTACTTCAAAAATTGAATTCTCCCTTTGGTGTCTCAAAAATATTAGGAGGAGTTGGCAGTGTACAAGAAAATCACCATTGAAAGGAAGGTACCAATTTAATGACCAGCAGATGTGTCGTGTACCATCCTCCATTGTGTCCTTCATTAGAGTTGGAAATGGCCTCTCTGCTTCCAAATCTCAGATCATGAACTGTCTTCTCAGTAAACAAAAACATGATGTGTTTTTTCACCGACACTGCAAGGGAAGCAGCAAAGACTGTCTCTTGATGGAGGGTGTGGTGGAAGTCTACTGGTTCTGTCCTGGGGAAGAAGATGAAGACAGATTTGACAACTGTGTGACCTTCACCAATCTACATGGAAATGCAAAGGACCACCCACAGCAGCTTGCTTTCCTGCAGGAGATTTCTTCTATCATTGTGATCCTCATCTCCGCCTCTGATGACAATGAAGAAAATAGAAAAACTGTCCGTAAAGTGTGGCAATCATCCAGAATTCTGATCTGCTTGCTTGATGACAAAGAAAACAACACAGTCAATATTTCTGAGAAAAGAATAAAAATTGCTATAAGGAATAGAAATGAGGCAGATTTAATAGAGGAGATTACTACTACAATCAAACATTTCCTAGAGCTCTCTGACACTGCTCTCAGCATGGAAGATTGTTCTCACACTGCACGTAAGTTAGGATTCCTTATTGATGAAGACCAGAGAGACTGCAAGCAAGCTAAAGACAAAGTAGATTATGAAGTCCCTCCTGAGTGAAATGAACTTATCTCACATGAAGGAAAATGTGCTACCACTTCAAGGAGAACTGTGGCATCTTTGGTGTAAAAAGGACAAAGAACTCTATCATCTAAGAGAGAAAGGGAACAAGAGCATTGAACAACACAAGAGTGAGCTTGAGAAAGAAAAACAAACAATAAAGCAACAACAGTTGAAAAAAGCCTTTCCTCAATAATTTACTGTTGTCTTTTCTACAAATCTTGCAAAAACTCTCAGAAACTCATGTCAAACTCTACTTTGTGCAGTGGTTGAGTGATTTTATGGACTGTCTCACTGCAGAACAGTTGGAAAATCTGCAGGAGAAACAAAGTTCTTTGTGGTCAAAGATACAAACAGAAAAGCAAAATGCACAGAATAGCAACAACCTGGATATCTGGCAAAATGAACTGGACACTGTCACCACAGAGATCAGTGACTGTACCTTGGGAGTTGAACAGCTTCTCAGAGAAGTTGGGCAGCTTTATGAAGCTCTGGAAGAAAATTCCTCTCCAAAAGACCCCATTTTTACCTCCCTTCCGGAAATAGCTGCAGACTTGATGCTATCTGGCATGCCTATTGAGTTGATGGATGGGGATGCATCCTATGTGCCTCTAAAATGGGTAGCAGCTGTATTTGACAAGGTCTCGGAGAAACTTCCAGGTAAGAGACTGTTTGTTCTTTCTGTCCTGGGCCTGCAGAGTTCAGGGAAGTCCACCCTGCTGAATGCCCTTTTTGGGCTACAGTTCAAGGTCAGTCCAGGAAGGTGTACTCGGGGGGCCTATATGCAGCTTCTGAAAGTGGAGGAGACCTTTGCAGAGGAACTTGGATTTGATTTCCTGTTAGTTGTAGACACAGAAGGACTCAAGGCACCAAGTCAGAAAAACAAATCTCAGAATTGGGACAATGAGTTGGCAATCTTTGTCATTGGACTTGGAAACTTGACTCTGATCAATATATTTGGAGAGAATCCATCAGAGATGCAGGATATCCTACAAATAGCTGTCCAAGCCTTTCTGAGGATGAAACAAGTGAAAACCTCCCCAAGTTGCCTCTTTGTCCATCAGAATGTAGGGGAAGTTACAACAAAAGTGTGCACAATGCAAGGAAGAAGGCAGCTGCAGCAGAAACTAGACGAAATGACAGCTATCGCTGCTGTGCAAGAGCAATGCTGCAATGTGTCCTGCTTCAGTGATGTCATTAAATTTGATGTCAATACTCATGTCTACTACTTTTCTCACCTGTGGGAAGGCAATCCCCCAATGGCCCCTCCCAACCCTCGCTATAGTCATCAAGTCCAAGAACTAAAAAGTAAAATTCTTTCGATGGCTAAACAGGAATCAAGGCGAAGTATGAAAATATCTGATATAAACGTCCAAGTGGAAGATTTATGGAGAGCCCTGGTCAGTGAGAACTTTATTTTCAGTTTCAGAAATACTAGAGAGGTCATTGCCATGAGAAAACTGGAAACCATGTACAACAAGTGGTCCTGGAAGCTGAGGAGTCACGTGCTGCATTTGCAGAATCAGCTGAACAACCAGATTCAGAATGGAAAAATAGAGAAACTCGAGAGAAGTTCACTTGAAGATCCAGTTGCAGAAAAATATGAAACTATTAAGGAAGACCTTGAGAAGTATTTCAAGGAAGACCAAGAGTGTGAAATACTGATTCAGTGGAAAGGGAATTTTCAAAATAAGTTATTAATCCTTAAAGAGACACTTATTTCTGATGCCAAAAAAGAAGCCAATAAACGTATTGATCTTAAGAAAAGTCAAAAAAAGCTGTGTAGGAAAGACGTTTATGAAAGTGAAATACTGAAGAGGAGTCGAGAGTTGGCTTTAACTGTAAAAGGGGAAGAATTGAGTGAGGAGGAGTTACAGAAGAAATTCAATCAACTTTGGAGTAAATGGGTCTATGAGGTGTCTTCAAGTCTTCCTCCAGCAACAGAACCTAAGATTGACGTTGATTCTGAGAACATTCTTTTAGAGCATTTCAAACAGAATAAAAACATAGGGTGTAAACTAAAAAAATATGCTGGAAAGGAATTTAAGATCAATTATGACAAACATGTCCAAATGAGAAAGTGTTATACATTTTTTGTAAGTAAGTTAGAGAAAAGTGATGAGGAGTTAATTCATATGACTACTGACCACATTATTTCAACATTTAAGGAAACTATCACTGACATTCAGAAGCAAAAACGTGATTACAATGTAAATGATTTTCATGAAATTCTGAGAATAATAGAAGAAGTGACATCTGCACCCACACACGAAAAGTACTCATTTACAAGCAAATATAAGATTCAATTATCTGTGTGTTTATTCCAAAAAGCATCAAAAAGTTTTAAGAAAATGCATGAGATGTTTAAGAGAAAAAATGATCCTGTAAACTATCTGGAAAGTAAAAAAGATGATTTCTTCATGAGTTTCAAGATCTCTTGCCAAGGAGCAACCTCTGTCAAATTATTTGTAGATTTTTTTGTGGGACAGGCTCATTCCTGCTGTATCTACCACCATATGGGAAAACATGGCCCTTAAAATTGCGGGGGACATGCAAGCTACCTGCCCTGCATTCAATGGAAACAGGGCTAAGCTTGAAAAACATATTCTCATCTCTTTGGCAGAGGAAGAAAATTTTGATAATTATTGGCAATACATTCATAATCCAAAGTCCTTTTTCAAGAGCTACATTGAAAACCATATTAAAAGATATTTTGCAGAAGAAAAAGTTAAAATAAAAAAGAAATTTTTAGATATAAGTTTAGACATCAAGAGTGTCATCCTCTGTGCTATTCAAAATTCCACAGAACAGGCCAAAGATAAAAGCAGCACTGCATCTGAGTGGTTGGATTTCTTCTGTGATCATCTGGGGAACAAACTGATCTTTCCACGAGCAGACTTGAGAGGCATTGAACACCTGGAGATAAAAGATATTGAGTTTCTCAAAGAAGCCATGACTAAAGCATTGGGTGATGCAACGGAAAAACTGGATGATAAGTTTTTAAGTATGCCTATAGAAAAAATGGTACCTGTAATTGAGAAAATCCTCTCTGAGCAACTCTGTGGCTGCTGGAAACAATGTTACTTCTGTAAATCCATTTGTACCAATACCATTCCTACACACGAAGGAGACCATAGTGTTCCATTCCACCGTTCTCAGGCTGTCAGTGGATATCATTGGCATAAAACAGATGAGTTCTGCATTGCTTTCTGTACTACTTCAGTGGCAAGTAATAATTGGTTTATTACATATGGCCATCTGAGTTTTCCATTCATGACCTACCGGCAAGCAGGTGGGGATTATGCCACTTGGAGCATTACCCCAGATTCATCGTCCCAGTCATATTGGAAATGGTTTGTCTCTCACTTTAGATCAAGGTTAGAAGAAAAATATGGGAAAAGATTTAAAAATAGAGGGGAAATCCCTGGTGCATGGTTTAAAATCACAAAGGAAGATGTACTTAATGACTTGAAAAAATAACTGCAAAAAATAAAAAATAAATAACACAACACAGATGGCACTTCTGGTATTTGATCAAAAATACTACAATTGGATACCACACTAAAACACATCCTCCTTATGACTAGAACCTTCAGATACACATTTTTAAAAATGAAATATAAGAAAACAAATCAGCAAATGTTTCAGAATTTCAAGCTATGGTATAGAAGAAATCCTTTTCTGTGTCAGCTCCTTGTGGTTTACAATCACGTTTCTAAGATATGCAAATCTGTTTAAAATTAATTTAATTCTCTAGTTTTATACTTAAACTATGTCCCAAATCTTTTCTAAAATATATGATGTCTCAGAGAAAGTCACCTTAATAGGAAATTTATATTCTATTTATTTCTGTTTGTGTTTTTGAGATAGCATCTTGCTATGCATTTCAGAGGTCCTTGAACTCACTTTGTGCTGAGTGGTCTCAAACTTTCAGTGATCCTCCTGCCTCAGGCTCCCAAGTGCTGGAATTATAGGCATGTGCCACCATGTCCAGTTTAACAGGAAATTTAAAGTCAATCCAGGCTGCCACAAATTTTTTATAGATTAACCATATAGATATGTGAACAACATATAGATTATGGATTGAAACAAAAAATTGACTCTAAGGTTTTGAATGTATTTCTTTCCCTATTTCAAGTTGAAAGGAAAAACTATCAAACCTTCAGTATAAAGACATTCCCAGAAGTTTATCATTTCTAACCATAGTAATGTTTAAGTATGCTGTGTTCTGGGCAAGAATTAATTAGAGATTTAACCGAGATAAAGACTTTACCAACACAGGGTAAATTATTAAGCAAAGAAGGCAAATAGCAAAAGATTAACTACTTTTTAAAATTTCACCATCATTATTTTCTGCTATGGCATCCAGGTGTTGTTCTGTTCACACTGCATACACACACACACACACACACACACACACACACACAAATTCACAAAGCTTATGAATTCAAAGCCTGGTTTTATATACAACTCTGAACAGGATTTGATCCTGGAACAAAATTTATTTTATCCAACAGAAAAGGATAATTTTAATGAAGTCTGTGGACAAACTCAAAAATTTTTTTAAGCCAAGCACCCCCAAAAAAGTCTTCCAAGAAAAAAGTTAAATATATTGCATACAGTTTTCAGAAACCTCAATACTGAAAATTAGCTGGGTTTTATTTTAATAAGAAATTGTCTCTTTTACATATGAAATATAATTAAGTGCATATCTACAAGTTAGACACAGTTGTGGCTCTTTAACCATTTGGTTATAGTCAGAATAAACATGATACAAACTCTGAAGTCAAGGAAGGACTTGAGAAAGAAGTTTTTCTATATTTCTACTTCTAGTACTCAGTTCTCAAAAATGTTGATTGAAAGGAAACATGATGGGAAGAAGAATTTTCTACATGTTGGATATAAGGTATTCATTCAAGTCCATTTACAGGTATAGCGTCTGTTTCTCTATATGCAGTGAAAACAAACATCCAAAATTTTGATCTTAAGAAATGGAATATGGAAATATTGATGGTGTTCCCTTTGCCCCTCAAAGGGCTTTAAGAAAAGTGTGCTTCAGAATTATGTTCACTATTATGTCTAGAATCAGAAGATGAAAAAATTACAGAAACTCTTCCTGTACAGTATTGTTTCCCTTTGGTCTTGAGAAATAGTACTGGTGAGAGTTTTGGAAAGATGTCTTAATATGGAAGAACTGAAATATTGATGGAAACAGAATCTATCCGACATGGTTTCTATCTCTTACTTCCCTGCACACTTGAAGAAGCCTCAACATTCAATTAATATTTCTGAATGCTTTTTAAATTTTTAAATGAATTCTTAAAATTTTAAAGTAAGAATTAACATGTATGATGTTACTTTTGATTTTCAAGTCAAAAGTGAAATTAACAGTCAGAAATTTTTAAATTCTATTGTTGCTGTTTAATAGGAAATTTTCTTTTCTTTTTAAAAAATAAAAGTTCTTTGACAAATTCCTCAAGTTGTTAAGAAGTGTGATTATAAAATGAAATTCAAGATCTATTCTCCAGGGATCATACATGCAAAAATAGACAAAGGTAATTGTGAAAGAAGATAAATGAGTAGGAATGGTGATTTCTGAAATAGTTGTACAGCAAGTAAAGCTGCCATCAGGAGGCTCAGACTTAGAAGAAAATATAGCAACAGGAGATTGGGTGTCACTGGGGAAGGAAATTTGAGAAACAATGGAGTGGTACAAATGGAGTCCAGAGAAATGAGATTATCAAGAGGAGGAGGCACTGGGTCTGGGAACAAATCAAAAGAATAGAGATCAGAGTTATCAGCTTAGCAAGAATAGGCTTTACCTGGTCAGTAGAATGGGTCTCTCAGAGTCCCTGAAAAGGAGAATAGAGACATGGAAATTGAGAATCACCTCACCAGTAGGTTTTACAGAGATTGTAATCAGTCATGCAGAGAGAAGAGCCAGAGGCCTATAAGGATGTGGCAAAGGGAGTGACAGATTCTATGACACCAAATCACAGGTATATCTGTATTATTCCCTTGTATATGGATTTTAAAAATTAGAATGCACAGAAGTAGAGACTAAGATGGTGGTTACCATGAGGGGATGGTAAGGAAAAAGAAAAATGTGGGTCACAAAGTAGTTTCAAATATTTCCATATGTCAAATCTAGTATCACAGTCTCACCTAATTCTACCAATTCCTCTTTTCTTCCTTTCCTCTAATTCTTCTTTTTCCTCTTCAGCTTCTGTTCTCCCCAACCTTTTGGTTTAACCCACCTGCGACATCCAGAAAGGGAGATATTTTATCTATGGACAGAAATAGTTGATATCTTCTTTATCAAAAGTCTTCCTAACTTTACATAAAATATTGATTAAACATACAGCAATCAATGTAAAGTATGGTAGTTCATATGTCAGGAATGTCAACAGTAAGAAAACATCAGTCATAAAACCCCTTTTAATATACATTTTTTTTCTTGGAGATAACAATGGTCAGTACATGGTGTATTGTCTTCAAAATAGTTGCACACGTTACAAGATATAGGCATGAAAAAATGATCAAACAATGAAAACAAATGGTTCTTTGTGGTGAACTATCAGAGATTTGAATTATAATTACCAATCTTGTAGAGTCTGGTTAGCAGCACAGGAAGTATCAGGGACTCAGAAGTGGCTGGCTCAGGGAGAGAAATCCAGATGCTGGACCCTCCACTTATTCTGTGGGACTGGCAACCAATATGAGCATAACCAGGGACTTGATAGCAAGCCTTTTATCCATAAAATTTTTTACTCTTTTTTTCTTTTTTGCCATTTTGTCACCTTTACCCACATTCTTTTCCTTATCATCTACAACTTTCATTCTTGTTTTTAAATTTTTATTCTATTTTTTCTTCCCTCCTTCTTATTTTTTCTCTTTTTAAATGATTGGGGAGAACCCCCATCAGAGAAAATTAATCCCATCCCACAAACACAGACACCAAGAACAGAAAAACCCTAGAATACCCCTTCATCCTTTCTTTTTTACCTTCATCCCTAGTTTCCCAAGCCTTGTGTGATCATACTTTGTTCTCTAGCCTGGCTTCTACTTCCTTGCCAGTTATCTTTGTTTTATACACTATTTTCCTTAAATATCCCCACCAACGGGTATAAATTACCAATTGGCAACACTTTATGTATAATCTCCTAACTTAAGATTTGTTCTGTTATATAACTATAGATTTTGCTCCTACGGTCAGAAATGCAAATCAATAATTACTATATTATGTCATTTTTTACATTGTGCTTGATGCTATTGCTTTGATGATTTTACTGCTATTGCTAAAATGGCATATCTGCTGCAATCATTTATTCTCACTTCTGCAACAATACTGGGAAGTTCTAGGGTAATAACCTCACTAAAACTGTACACCAAAGTGCTGTGAAGTGAGCCAAACAGATACCAATAGCCTACTCTTAAATATTTGAGATAGTAGGACTTCAGGACAGATACAAATCAAGAACATCCTACACAAAGAAGACATCCCTAAGAACAGATTTCTAGGGAGTCCTTGATACCAGTGATATAGCTACCTAGTACAAAATCTCACAGGAATCATGACAAAAAAGATAGTTTTGAAATAGCGAATGACAATAATAAGAACTGTGGGAGTAATAAAACCCAAAAAGTGTAATTGTTATTGTAAAAAAAAGAAGAAAGGAAGGTGGACTAAGGGATATAACCGCAGGTATGATTGAGTGTGTAGGATGGAAGACCATATTACTGAGCTTTTGTTGGATCATTGAACGGAACTGTCTCCAATATCACTGTATGAATGTCCACTTTATAAGCTTTAATTTTATAATTTGGACAACTGTTTCTAAGAAGACAATATGTAACCTATTAGTGATTTCTTACTGTATATTTTTTTCTTGAAATTCTGTATTACTTGTACCCTTTTACTGCTTTGTTTTTATGTCCTTTCTTTTTTCTCTTTAAATAAAAAAATCTAAAAAAAAAAAAAAAAAGAAATAGAGAATGACAAGGGAAACAAGCAAAATGCACATCTCAGGCATCCAACTCATTCACCATATGTCCAGGAGACACTGACATAGAAAAAGTTGAAAGACACTCATCTAAAATTTCTGAAATAATAGCAACTGAAGTAAAGACACAAATCCACGAGAATATAGAGTAAATCAGGTTAGAAATAATCTTTCAGGTAAAGAGGAAGATGTCAATATTTATGTAGGAAATGCTCAGAAAACACAAGTGAGTGATAAAAACAGAAAATGGTGGGGACAAGATAGACATGAACAAAGATCAATCTAGAAAAGAAATGGAATGCATGAAATGGATTTACACAAATATTCAGGAAATTAAATTTCCATTGAAAGCTTGCAAAACTGCCTGAAAAAAACTAAAGACAGGAAATAGCAAGCATGCAGGGCAAGATCTCTCTCTCTCTTTTAAAAATTTTATTTAAATGAAAGAAAAGAAAAGTTAAAAAAACAAAATAAAAAAACAAGAAAAAAGAATACAAAATTCAAAAAGAAATTAACATCAGAAAATCGCTACTTGATACATTACGAATTGTCATCTTAACAATACTTGATAAAGTTACAAAATCAAAGGATTAAAAAGTGGCTAAACATTCAGGCATTGACAGTGCAATCTCTTCTGTTCAGTGATCTAATGGAAACTTAGTAAGATGGTCCTCTATTTCACGCACTATACAGAGCATTATATCTTTTAGAGCACTTTCCTTCCTTTTCACTTTTACACTGTCTATCATAGGTTTTTGGATCCCATTATTCTGTCAGCTCTTATTTTTTACACTAGATAGACAATTTGAGATTTAATAATGTGAGTCTTGCTTATTTCACGAATGAAGATATTCTGAAATTGCCTCCATTTACCTATAAAGCTTTCAAGATTATCCTTTTTTCATAGCTGAAAAGTATTCCATTGTATAAAAATACCACATTTTTTTCATCCACTCTGTGGTTGATGGACAACTTGGTTGTTTTCAAGATTTAGCTATCATAAATTGTGCTGCTATGAACGTGAGTGCACATACATAACTGTGACTTGAACTTTTAAATTTTTCTGGGAAAATACCCAGGAAGGGAAGAGCTAGATTGAATGGAACTTCCAATCCTGGTTTTTTGAGGAATCTCTATACTGATTTCCACAGTGTTCTCACCACTCTGCACTCCCACGAACAGCAGAGAAGGGTTCCTTTATCCCCACATGCTCCCCAACATTTGTTACAAATTGTTTTCTTGATGGCAGCCAAAATTTCCAGGCTGAGATGAAATCTCAATGCTATTTTAATTTGCATTTCTTGAATGACCAGTGATGTGAACATTTCTTCATATATTTATTTGCCATTTGTACATCTTCATCTGAGAACTGTGTGTTCATCTCTGACACCCATTGGAGAGAGTCTTTGAATTTCAGGTACTTGATGTTTTCAGTTCTTTATATGTTCTGGATATAAGTTCTTTGTCTGAGGGATTGTTGGCTAAAATTCATTCTGACCCTGTGAGTTTTCTTTTCACTTTGTTGGTAATTTCTTTTTTTTAAATTTTATTTATGGAGAAATGGAAAAAAAAAAACAGAAAAAGAGTACAAGTAACACAGAATTTCAAAAAATAAACAATTGGAAATCACTAGTTAATAGATTACATATTGTCATCTTAGAAATAGTTGTTCAAGTTACAAAATTAAAGCATATAAAGTGGACATTCAAACAATGAGACTGCAAAGAGTTCTGTTCAATAATACAACAAAAACTCAGTAATATGGTTATCTGTCTTATACACTTAAATACACATACAGTTATATCCTTTAGAACACTTCCTTTTCCTCTCTTTTTTATAATAATAATTACACATTTTGGATTTTATTACTCCCACAGTTCTTACTACTTTTTTTGAAGAGAATAAAACCAAATGTGACATAACAAAACAGAGTCAGTCAAATCAAAAGGATGGACATAGTACATGATGTAAAAACAGAATACAAGGTTATCAACAATGGTTACCATAATGCCTCCTGCTATCTTAAAAAGAATTTCCTATATCATCAAGTATAATAAATTGAACAAACAGTACAGAACAAAACCAATAAAGCCAAAACATTGGAGACATTATAGGACTTCAAAAGAAGATAATAGTCAAACCAGAATGGTCATCATAGTGAATCTTATTGTATTTAAAGTAGTTGCCTATACCCTCAAAATTGATACTATCAAGCAAAACAGAATGCAGTAAAATCAGTCAAAACAAGATGGTGAGAGCAATACAGGGCTTCAAATCGTTAATGGGAAATCAAAGTGGGTTACTATAATATATCCTGCTATTTTTATTTATTTTTCCCCTAATTAAAAAATAAAAATAAATAATAAAAAAGGAGATTGAGATAAAAGAGGACATAACAACACAATAGCACA